GATAACACTTGCACTACCTGCGGGTCAAGATTGTACATAATTTCAATGAGGATAGAACGTAGGTAAATAAACCCTTCACAAATTTATATGTAGATATAGGGATATATTGTTGTTCTTGAGTCAAGATAAAACAGAGTTACGACGACCGTTGTAATAAATAAATACTTTTTTTTTTATCTCTTCGGTGTATGATAACAGAACCACGGCCTCGCTTCGCATGCACCTCCTGGATATCTGGCATGGTCTCCTCTTTGTTCAACAGACGTCTAGTAAGGACATTCTGTAAATAAGCCTGTTGTCAGGTTATTAAAATTAAATAGTTGTTGACAAGAAAGCGGTGTCTATCGTTAAAAATTTATTACTATTCATTTTTACATTAAAATAAAAAAGAAAAGACATTGATATTAGATGGAGAGGTGCGGATTAGCGGGACAATTATCGTCGCGAAAATGGGAATTTATTTTATCATTTTATCCCAAGCAAGGCAAGAAAGCCACTAACACGCTTAGTAAACATCAAAGAATACAGGACCGAGGACAATGAAAGCACAGGAAGATAACGATTAACATTGCATTTACATTTTTAAAAATCAAAGTTGAATGGGAAATAAGAACCTGAAAAAGAGTTCCACAAGCGAGAAGTGCGATAGAAGAAACACTTAGTATAGAAATTACGGTTGCATCTAGCTGCCATTTCAACTGTAAAATGATGAGACCTTGCCGCCAATCTAGTACTGAGCTTAAATTCATAAAGTCTAGGTACCATAGAGGAAAGTTTATCAGGACAATAAACATGAAAGTATTTCTAGAAAAGATACAGGGAAGCTACATTACGGCGGTTGGAAAGAGACTGAAGCCGAGATGCCAGGTCAGGATTAATGACATTGCAGATTTTTCTTTGGATTTCATCAAGGATCACTAAATATATAGCAGGAGCTCCAAACCATATGGAGCAGCAACATTCAACGCATGGACGAATAGTAGGCTTGTAAATATGTAAGACAGATTAAAGAGAGAAAAATTATCTAACATTACACAGAGCAACACCATCGTATGAACAGACCGAGAGAGTCTAGTTTGTTGCGTTCACCTTCTCAAAATGCTATCGAGAAATGCGTGAATCCATCTCTTTCTCTCAGTTCTGGATTAAATAGATACGAAACCTGAGCACTTTAACATTGGCTGGCAATCAATATAGAAGGTCAAATCTGAATTAATCTACACCACTATCTTTACCAAAAAGAAATCCCAATTCATGTATATTAAAGGAAGTTGTGGAGAGCCATAATAAACTATGTCCTGAAAGTACTCAGAAATTTAAGAAAAACATACTAAATGACTCTATAACTACATTTCACTACAGGAAGTGGTCGGAAGAAAATTCCCGCTCCAATCTGAAAACGACGTGTATAGATAAAAAGATTGATTACCGCTTATCATTGACCACTGGGGGGGGGGTCGAATTTCTCTAAGTTGTTCAACTCTTGTAACTCTTTGACAGGTTGATAAATACTGGTATATACATATTTAGGTCATCGGAAACAAATGTCCTGATGTCTCTGATTTCCACCTAGAGGCCAATTTACCGAATAAGGAGGCGATTATAGCTCTTCATAGATTCTGTTTGTTTTATTATTTGTGAAATGCCGTATCTTTTGAAGGAGGATAAAGGAGTGGATTTTACTTTCTGTATTCGGATTTGGCCTTCTCTTAGACTAACAACCATAGCTTGGTGAGAAGCATAGAAAAATAAAAATAGTCACTAGTATTGATAGAAGATTTAAAAATAAGTATGATGACCATTTAGATCAAAGACAGTCATGGCTCTCCACAGATACTTAAAAAAAATTACTATGGCTTATTGGGAAGTGATATCTCATTTCTTTTTCCGCTTTTCTCTTGCTGATGACTTAAGTTTGCCATATTTGCCATACGAATGATGTTGAACAAGAACTCAACCTTCATTACCAAGTGTTCCAAGAAATAGAATCTAAGATAAAAACCATTCTGAAACAGAAACCAAAAACATCTGGGATTAGAATTAAGGAAATGATAGAACATGAAATTATTTCATCCTAACAATTCCGAATGTTGAATGAATACAATTTAAACACTTCAAATATCTCAGCGTATGGATCAGTTATAACAAATTTAGTATAGTATACTTAGTATAACACATTTAGTACAGTATATTTAGTATAACAAATTTAGTACATTATATTTAGTATAACAAATTTAGTACAGTATATTTTGTATAACAAATTTAGTACATTATATTTAGTATAACAAATTTAGTACAGTACATTTAGTATAACAAATTTAGTACAGTACATTTAGTATAACAAATTTAGTACATTATATTTATTATAACGTTTAGTACAGTACATTTAGTATAACAAATTTAGTACATTATATTTAGTCTAACAAATTTAGTACAGCATATTTTGTATAACAAATTTAGTACATTATATTTAGTACAACAAATTTAGTACAGTATATTTTGTATAACAAATTTAGTACATTATACTTAGTATAACAAATTTAGTACATTATATTTAGTATAACAAATTTAGGAAAAGTGATACGGAGAACATAGAATAGCGTATCCTGTGCTATGGCGAGTTTTGTCCAATAACTGAAGCGGCTACAAGACCAAAGCCTGAGAACTCAAATTATATTTTTAAATAGCTTCATTAGACTCATGGATGTTATACATGTGATCGAAATTCCTTTATAAATGTGTCAATTATCACCTAGAAAGGGGGCTGGAAAAGTAGGTATACAGTAAGTATTATACCACTATTATTATCATATTAATAGTATTTCTAGGATTCATTTAATAAATAATTATAATAATAAATGTTTTGCAGGTAAAAATGGGTGGGTGAATGACGGGATCAAACAGTTTGAACATTTGAGGGATTGATATATTTATTATTGATATGTCTATTATTGATAGGTTTTTATAAACAATGCAATAAGTTTTGTGAGCACATTTGGTTTTTTTCATTACTGTATATCTATTTTTGCACATCCCTCTGTATAGAACCGTTTTCTCAGATGAATAATTTCAAAGGAATGAATTTCGTAAATCTTAAAGAAGACCACCTCCTTCATCAAATAATATAGACTCGTGCAACAGAATCACAAATAAAGAGATTTAACAATGAACACATTTTGCTTGAAGACTTCCAAAAGCAGCAACAAATATAACTACAAGGGAAAAAAATGATATAATCCAGGTGTTGACTTTCCACACAACCATAAACTAAAGGTTAGCAAAGAAATTCCTTTAAATACGAGAAAGTGTGGTAAAACGTATTTAAAAAAACATTTTTTTCTGAAAAACTCTTACATGAGAAAGATTTTTTATAAATTTCAACCGACAGTGGAATTGTTTCGTCAATAAATAGCGAATATTTATTGTATGAAAACAACGAATCCCCGCCATTACTACTTTTTATTGTTATTCTTTTTTTACAATGGCGCCAAAATGGAGTAGTGTCCTGCGTATGACGATAAACTACGTCCAGCAGCAAGGCCTCTGATCAGGAGGTTTTTCTTCCCAGGTCCACCCTGACTGTTAGGGTCCAACCTATGGGCAAATATTTAAACCCTAAACTGGGTTAAAAACACTATGAAAGTGTAAAAATAGGTTTTAATACCAGAAATACTTTGTAAAAAAATTATTGCCACCAATAAATTTTTGAAGAAAAAAACTATTAAAAGCAATACATTTTTGAAAAAATATTACCAACAATGTTTTTTAAAAATAAATATTACTAGCAATACATTTTTGATTTTTTACATTACCAACTATACATTTCCGAAAAAAAAAATATGTGAAACAAAATATTACCAGAAAAAAAAAGTTGTTGGCATTAAATAACCCATTGAGGTTGATATGCTGTAAAACAAACCAAATCAAACCAAAATAGAGTAGAACGGAAATTTTTTTACAAAGATCTGGGAGGCAATCATTATTTCAAGGCAAATCTTTCGAATAACCTGAGGCAAACGTGAACACATTGCAATAAATCTTAACATAGATAAAATAAACAAAGAAAAAAGAATGGTTAGCTTCATGGCTGAGATAGTGTTCGAGGTCGGTGTTCGAGCGCAGGTGAAAGAATATGATGATTTTTTAGGTAAATCTTTTATTTCTTTGAAGCCTGACTTGACACGACCTTCATACGTTCCATTTGATCATCTGCCATATTGAGTTAAGAAAGAAAGAAAGAAAGAAAGAAAGAAAGAAAAAAAAACGAATGAAGAAAAACAAAATAAGAAAAGAAATAAGGAATGAGAAAAACGGGAGAAAGACAAAAGGACGAATGAGAAAAACGAGAAAGATAGAGGTATATATTGAAAGAAAGAAAAAGCAAAAGAATTAGGAAAAAGAATAAAAAAAGAGGAATGCGAAAAAGAAAAAATTAAAAAGAGAAAATTAGAAAAATGAAAGAAAGAGAAAGTAAAAAGTGATAAAAAGAAGAAAGAGAATAAAATAAAATAAAAAAAAGGAGCAATCTAAATATGAAAACAAGAAGTTAGGAAGAGTAGGAAAAAGAAAGCAAAAGAGAAAAAGAAAGAACAAATAAGAGAAAAGAAAAGAGAGAAAGAGAATGAAAGGAGAGAAAAAAGATGAATAAAGAATTAAAAAAAGAAAGAAAAAAAATCTAAAAAGCAAATCCTTGAGAGGAAAAACAAACGGGCGAATCGGAAAAAGAAAGCAAAATTTGAAGCCGGCGAAGGTGGAATAAAATAAGACATGGAAGATTTTAATCAAGTTAATGTTTCGCCTCGACCTTGCTTTTCAAAATGCTTCGAGATAAAAAGTTTTTTTTTTTAAGAAAGAAATACGACAAAGAGCCGCCGCATTGTCTCTGGTCCAGTGTAGAGGCTTTTCGAAAGTGATCGAATGTGAATGAATCCTGAGAAGCAGTTATTTTTACCTCTGAGCAAAATGAAAGCGCTCACGGTCGCCGAGATGCATCAGGATTAATGAGATCTTTCTCCTCTCTCTTTCTCTCTTTCTCTCTGTCGTTCTCTATCTCTCTCTCGTTCTCTATCTCTCTCTCGTTCTCTCTCTCTCTCACTCTCTCTCTCACACACAGTGTGCGGTCGTATTAGTTTAATCTTGCCTATTCCTATCGATGCCAATCAGTTCGTATCAATCATTCTCACTCCGTCTGTTCATATATAATTACGCATGTTCATATCTATCTATCTATCTATCTATCTATCTATCTATCTATCTATCTATCTATCTCAGTCTGTTCATATCTGTGTATGTATATATGCATCTCTCTCTCTCTCTCTCTTTCCCTCTCGCGTGACCGAGTGGTTAGAACGTTCGCTTTCTGACCATAAGACCCGGGTTCGAATCTCACTATGATCAATTTGACAGGAAGGCGACTTCCTGATGTTATGAAACTGGATCGAGGTCGATCCCAACGCGTGGGACCTTTGGGAAGCCTTGTGGGTGAAATTGGATAGACGGAACTCTTGTGGGCCGTCGATAGCTATGCTAGCACGAAGCCACACGTCATCGTGGCCGAGGGCTTGAACGTGCTGACCTTGTTCAAATTGTTGATCATGTTCTTTCCCAGAAACGGTAACTAAGGTCTGCAGTATACACCACAGGTGGGCTCTGTGGGTGTTGAATAAACCCAAATGTGCCTGAGCGAGAGTCTGCAGTAGGGATTGGCTACCCGCTCTAGCAGACAGTTATCCTAGAATACGAATGGTCAGCTGTTATTTTATGTATGTATAAATTTCTATCTCTCTTGTTCTATCTATCTATCTACTCGGTCTGTTCATATCTATCTATCTATCTATCTATCTATCTATCTATCTATGTTCATATCTATCTATCTATCTGGCTGGATATATTCAATGCCTCAAAAACCAAACTGGTTACATTCCATCGCCGCAGATCAGACCCCGAACTACCGTCAGTCACGATGAACGGATGACCCCATCCCCTTGAGTAGACCCCATTCCTTTCGAGGATATTGGAACTCGTATATACTATCCATCGCTGAAGATGTAGGTAAAATGATCTGCTCCTTGTCTCGCATCAGGGAGTACCTGACTCCCCATGCTATCCTCTACCAGATCAGGCAGAAAATGGAGTACTGTTGCCATATTTGGGCGGAAGCTGGCCGGATCTCACTTTCCAGTCTTGATAGAGTTCAAAAGCGTCTCTGTATTCTTGTTGGAGAATTATTTCCACTGTTCAAACTCTCTCTCTCATTGGCGGGATATGTCTAGCCTCTCACTTCTCTATCACTACCTCCATGAAAAGTGCTCAGACGAACTACATCCTTTGGTTTCGCTAGGTCCAATATTCACGGCTAGTACTCACCATGCCACTTACATAGTAGCACCCCCCACCACATTCGCTCCGTATTCCATCGCCATGAAGTAAGTTGTACTAAAAATAGCTTCTTTCTGCGAACCACTGCTCTGTGGAACATAATCCCAAGAGGATATTTCTCCGATCACTACAAACTTAACGTGTTGAAGAGTTATCCGTTTTCTTTCCCCTCGTATCCATATAAATTACCCATTAAAGTAACCCTCTACCCCAAGTGCACTTCCGGGCCTGTGCAGGGTAAACTGTACTGTATAATAAGGAAAGAGAGTTTAGGCACACACAGGACAGATTGAAGGTAGCCGATGTAACGAGTATCTGTCTATATTTCTGAGATGAGGTATTATGTACACTATTTACATTATTCGGACTATTGTCCTCATCTTTGTCGCCATATTTATTACAACGTTACGACCTTTCAGTATCTGTCTATATTTCTGAGATGAGGTATTATGCACACTATTTACATTATTCGGACTACTGTCCTCATCTTTGTTGCCATATTTATTACAACGTTTCGGCGCTTAAGTATCTGTCTATATTTCTGAGAAGATGTATTATGTACACTATTTACATTATTCGGACTATTGTCCTCATCTTTGTCGCCATATTTATTAAAACGTTTCGCCCTTTCAGTATCTGTCTATATTTCTGAGATGAGGTATTATGCACACTATTTACATTATTCGGACTATTGTCCTCATCTTTGTTGCCATATTTATTACAACGTTTCGGCGCTTCAGTATCTGTCTATATTTCTGAGAAGAGGTATTATTTACACTATTTACATTATTCGGACTATTGTCCTCATCTTTGTCGCCATATTTATTACAACGTTTCGGCCTTTCAGTATCTGTCTATATTTTTGAGATGAGGTATTATGTACACTATTTACATTATTCGGACTATTGTCCTCATCTTTGTCGCCATATTTATTACAACGTTTCGGCCCTTCAGTATCTGTCTATATTTCTGAGATGAGGTATTATGTACACTATTTACATTATTCGGACTGTTGTACGCTCCGGCCTTCTTCAGGTGGTTGGAATGTTGAACTGAACCCTTTATTTCTCACACTGTTTTAGTTTCACGTGCCATGTCTAATGGATGTCAGTTATGAGTTATCTCCTGTTAATTCCCCTCTCCAAGTAACCAGGTATTGAAATAACACTCTTTGGGTCCTGTCACTGGATCTAACTAACACCTTTATCCCCTGTGCCATGTTTCCTTGAGGACATCTATGTATGAATCTCTGGGTATTATAAAGCTAATGTCTTCAGCAACCTTTTTTACAAGTGCTCAATTTTTTGCTGTTTTCATTACATGTTTTTACCAGAGCTCATATTGCAATTTTTTTGTTATTATCACTTTTCTCTGGCACTCCTTATTACTGGTTCCCATATTGTATTCATTTCTACACTTGGTCGGCTCAGGAGATTTTTGTTGCCTAACATATGTGCTGATTCCTTAAGTTTACGAATTTTCCAATGGTGTTCCTTGTCTATGATCTCAACTTGATCCCACAGAGGGCGGTGATCTCTCTTTTCTGTCCATATGTAGTCAGGTACGTCTGATTTTTCAACTTCCCCTCATGTTACAGCTTTCTGGTGTTTTGAAGCCTTACCTTAAGGGGGCGGCCTGTTTACCCTTTATGTTTTTTTCCGCAACTGCACGGGATAGCGTACACACAGTTTTTAGTCATGTTCTCCTCTATGGCAGGGTCTTATTCAGGAGAGATATCTGCGAAGTGTCGTCCAGCATTTGAAGGTTGTCTTGATGTTATATGAACTGCAGATCCTTTGTATTTTCTCTGATAACCCCTTCATATAAGGCAGGCAGAGTGTTTTTTGAGTGTTGTTGTCTTCCTCTTGTACCCGCCTATCCCAGTTTTTTTGGGCTGCTGCCATGTACCCAGGGTAGTTGTTACGTTGTAGGGTACTACCTATACTGACCAATTCTTTATCTAATGTCTCTAGGTCACCACTTATGACTTTTGCTCGTTGTTGTAAGCTGCGGACGATCCCTTTCTTTACGCTGTATGGATGGTGGGAGTTTAAATTGAGGTACTGCCCGGTGAATGTCGGTTTACGGTATACGGATGTCTTGAACACATGCTCTGTTGGAGATATTAGAACATCCAGGAATGGGAGTGTGTTGTTACTCTCTTTCTCCATTGTGAACTGTATCGAAGGTCTTATTGAGTTCATATAGTACAGTAGAACCGGAACATCTTCCTGGTGTGGCCAGAGTATAAAGGTATCATCTACGTACCTTAACCATATAAATGGATTTAGAGATATAGATTCTAATGCCATTTCCTCAAAATATTCCATGTATATATTCGCCATTGCTGGTGATGATGGAGAGCCCATTGCTAAACCCTCATCCTGTTGATATATGTGTGATCTAATTCCGAAGTGTTTTGTTTGTGTACAGAAAGTCAATCTCTTCATCAGATTATCTATTGGAATACTGGTCCGTTCTTCTCGGGATGAGTCAGAGGCCAATATGTCTCTGACTACTGAGAGTGCCTCCCCCGTGGGTACTTTGGTGATAAAGCAGGACACGCCCTTGTCCGAGAGCGAATCAAGTACAATCGTTGGATAAGACAGAGACTACAAGCTCATATCTCCCAGAGTTTCAAGGATTTCTTCAAGAGAATTACCAATGAAGAAGACCAGAGAAAGGATCCAAAATGACCTGGATAAATCCTTCAGAGATGAATTCGATATAGTCAAGACTCGCCAAGTACAAAAATCAAACAGATTGAAAGATCAGAATGTGTCGCACAAGGTCCATCACCCACCAGTGAAAGCAGTAATTAACATCAGCCAATATCAGCTGAGTGCCTCTGAGGAGTCAGTATTGAATAAGGGTCTCAACTTCACCACAACTATCAGGCGAGTGCCATACTTGGACATCATTGCCAGAATCGAGGAGGTGGCATTGAACTGTTCTCAGGCTCAAGCGAATGAAATCAAAGATGCTATCATCCTATCCAACCAGATGGTGAGCTTAGACGTGGTGAGTTTGTTCACCAAGGTACCCCCGGAGGAGGCACTCTCAGTAGTCAAAGATAGATTGGCTTCTGACACATTCCTAAAAGAACGGAGCAGTATTTCAATGACAGGACCCAAAGAGTGTGAGTTCAATACCCGGTTAAGGTAGTCGAGAACTTGGAGAGTGGAATTAACAAGAGATAACTGATAACTGACACCCATTAAAACATGGCACGTGGACCTAGAACAGTTTATCCCAGTAAGAGAAATAAAGGGTTCAGTTCGACATTCCAACCACATGCAGAAATGTTGTAATAAATATGGCGACAAAGATGAGGACAATAGTCCGAATAATGTAAATAGTGTCTATGTAACGATCTTGCGTAAATGGTTAGCAGAACAGGGAATAGGTGTGATGGCAAAAAAAAGTCAAACCCTCCTGGCAGCAACAAAGAATAAAACGTTATGATGATCCATGATCACCAACTAAGTGATACGGCCCAATAGGTTGTATCAAAAACAATTTCAGAAACTTTGAGGCTGGTTCTTCACATCAAAATAAGGACAAACTGCGAAACCATTCGACACCGTGTGCGAGTATTTGAAAGGGTCCACCAGTCAATGATCCGACGGGTACAGCGTGTAGAAACAAGCGGAGGACATTTTGAACATTTGTTATAAATTGTTATGTTAAAGCACAACGATAGCCTTTTGGACAAATGTTTATATGGACATTTTACCTTGTTTTCGTTTTAGAATCCCGGCCGCAAAGTTTGCAAAAATAATTTTGGGATTGTATCTTGGATTGTACATTTAACAGCGTCTATCGAAAACTTTAAACTTAATAACTCAAAAACGAAGAATTGCGGACATATGCTTATGAGGACTTTTGTCCTTGTTTTTGTGTGAGGAACCTACCTCCAAAGTTTGTAAAAGTATTTTTGGCACATCATTCATATATATATATATATATATATATATATATATATATATATATATATATATATATATAGCGAGAGATAGATACTATATACTAACCGAAACTGTCGATCAGTAAATTATTGGAGGATTACACTTTTAAAATGAGATATTTGTAAGCATCTTGTTACCTATTAAAAAGAGAATTTACAATCAGCAGATGAAAATTCGGAATTTCTTGGAATTTGTTTTTACTTAAAATCTTTATATAAATGAATGTCTGCAACTGCAAAATTACCCGATACACAATCAATATTTTTTCACTGTGTATGGCATCCCGCTTGAATGTTTTTAAAATGGAAACAAATTTATTTTGACTTAAAAACAAATAACTTTTTATGGAACGTATTTTAAAGTTGGTCTCAAATTGAAGAATGCACTATGACCCCAAAATGTTTATCATGTAAGGTACTTGACTGACTGACTTATGATATCGGTTAATACGTTCATTAGATATTTTTAGACAAGACACCAAAGTGTTTTTGAAATTCGGCGTCGCAAAATATGTCATCGACATAAGATCGTTGTAAACAGTAAGTACATAAGTAAGATAAGGTGAACA